TTCACGCCATCCCTCAAAGCACCGCCACCCTCCACACACTCATACCCTTTTTTTTTTTTTTTTTGCTGCAACCCCACCAGCTGCACAGTGCTCATTTGATTAAGAGGGGGGAGGACAGAGAGAAGGAAAAATGGTGGCGGATCACTTTATCTGGATGCGACGATCATGGGTGAATCAAATTGGGACAACCAGCTGCACAGTGCTCATTTGATTAAGAGGGGGGAGGACAGAGAGAAGGAAAAATGGTGGGGGATCACTTTATCTGGATGACTTTCTAAGATTGATATCATCAGCCGCAAAGCAATCTTAAACCCGCTCCTGTGTTTGCTATACAATTGTTCCCTTTGCAGAGCCATTTTGTGTGTTCGCAGTTGGGCTCGACGCTCCACAATTAGGATGAAGACATGTTTTCACGGCACAGTTATTAGTTTTTGTTTTAACTAGTTACCTTTTTCCACATCATCTGCCATTCCACAAAAAAAAAACAAAAAACAAAACAAACACAAAAATAATAACTGCAATCTCCTCGTCTTGGAACTATTTCAGATGAAAATCTGTGTCGCCCTAAATGTGCTGTAGTGAGCAATTTTGCCTCCCCTCTCTCCCAGAGTCGTAAAACACATTATCATCATCAGCAGGAGCGGCGGTGTAATTCATCCAAAGTCGTTAATATTCCTCATATCATTTAGTCACAAAGGAAACTCATCTGGCTGAATGTCACAGATGTAATTAATGAAGTGACCCCAGAGGTCAGGACTCCATTCACCAAAGAGCTTGGCTTCCAACACTTTGCCGCGTTACGCACACACCATTGCACACCAAAAGCCTTCCGGCTATGCACAGAGCACCACAGAAATACCACCTGGAATATGAAGATTGTTTCTAAATAAAAAAAAAACACCCCCGCACAGCACAGCATGCGCACCGTGGATCGTCACACCAAAAGGGATGAGACCAGAGCATGCACCAAAGCAGACTTTTATTTAGCTCAGTGGAATATGGGAGGGGTAAGGTAAAGAGAAACACACCAGTAGGGGAAGAAATGGGGGGAGGGTGGGGTTGAAGGGAATATTATAGAGAGACACAAAACCACTGGAGCAAGACATAAGGACAGGTGCACATCACACGTATCTTTTTGGTCATCACTATGGCAACAACATATCCAGGAAAAAGAAAAACAAAAAAAGCAAGAGAGTCAGTTTTACCTACAACAAGGAGTCCCTTCACAGCAGAAGACCCCAATATGTACATCTTATGGTCACCGGTGATCAGTGAAATAAAACTCAGAAAATAAGTGTAGAAAAACTGTTTTGATTTTTGTTTTGTTTTTTTTTGGAATGCACATTTCTGTACAGAAGAAAGCTCATTGGTATTGTCGTAAACATTGGTTAGTTTGAGAACAAAACAAGACAGCACTGGTCAGTCCACGTCCTTTGGAAAGCTGTTTTTCGCTGGGAAAATGGAGCACAGAGATTAAAGCACCAAAGAACAAAAATAAATAAAATGATACCTTCAATATTCTGGGGCTGAACTCCTTCAAATATGCTAATTTCCATTCTTGTGTTTGACAAGTAAACACACCGGACACAATTTTGGGTCTAACTGGAGGTTTCGACCTGGTCTGTTATAAAAATGTTTTGCTGCTGTCCTCTAAATCCATGACTGAAAACCCAACTTGATCGAATTTAGCTCCGCGTACCAATTTGTTTCCGCCGGAATAACAGAAGCAGTTCATCAACAGCATCGCAGGTATCATTATTACAGTTTGTAAGTCATTAAAGCCTAAGTGGTAAAAGCGATCAGAGCATGCATCTTTCTACAGTAACATTAGAAACTACAGTACATTAGCAGCAAACTGGACATCCTTAAGGGCTGGAGTTTAACACTATGGTAAAAAAAAAAATCAAATAAAATGAAACAAAATAAACCGCAACATTTCTCAGAGAAGTAAAACTCTTCAACCGCTATATTACAGACTGCCATGGCTCTAGTTTGGGGTTTTGGTTACAGAGTACTCCAGTGTGCTTATGAGAGGCAGAAAACAGTAGCTTCGATATCGGGACTCCTTTCCTTCTTTAGAAATAGCAAAAAACATCGTCAAGTACACAGTAGCACTTACTTTTGTAGGTCTTATGGTAAAGTATTTTCACGTCTTTGGATATTTGTCTTAAAGCATTAATTATTGTTCAGCTATTATTGTTATATTATTATTATTATTACAGTTAGATAAGGACTGGTTGCAAATAAAAAGGAAGAAAAACATTCAAAAGAAAGAGGGGAGGGAGAAAAGGGAAACATAAATTAAGCGTACAAAAATAACATCGGAAACATCCATTACGTTTTTCCATCTGCTTCATGCGGAAGCTCCTTGTTGGTGTGTACGAACGGGGAGCTGTCTCGCAAACATCCAATGGAGTCTTGAGTCAACCATACAAAAGCTAAATACTGTACATATACCCCTCAAGCTATTAAACACTTTAGCTTCAATAAGTTTTTTTTTTTGTAACAATCTATTTGAGGTGAAAAGCTCAGATCTTTGATGTACACGGATGTTTGTTTGTTTTTGTTTTTTGTCGATGTAATACTTAAGTCCCAATCTAAACTGCGTCCCTTCTGCCTTCAAGACAGAAAGTCTCGGGTTCACATTGGATGTGGAGCCATATTGAGCTGCTGACCTGAGCGTAGAAAGCTTCATATCCATCACACAACATCAGGAAGCCATTGGTATATTCAAAGAACAGAAAGGCAGTCAATCCTTACCTGAACAGTTCAAAGCTGTCACAATCTTTTCATCATCATGACACTATTATACCAAAGCAAGACAGTTGATCTCAAGTCATAAGATTTATCTTAAGAAACTATGACTAGACACACACACACACACACACACACACACACACACACACACGCATTGTAAATTTGAGTTTGGTTAAAGTTATCATAGACAGTATTATGGTTGAGTGCTATAAAAATAGTGAGTCCCTTTTGGGGCAAACTTGCCTTTCTGCTCTGTGCTATTTGGGCTGTTATCCATGAAAGGAACATAGAAGGTGTCCATGTACAACAGAAGACTCATCATTGGCTTGTGATGGGTGGAGCTGCACTCTGGCACTGTTATCAGTCCATTGCTT